TGTCTCCCACACAAAATGCCTGGAGGCTGCAGTTCCTCAGAAACTCATTTGTTCAACGTACTAAAATGTTTAATAAAATCCAAGTTAGGGGCGCCTGGATGGCTCAGTCGGTTAAGCGTCTGACTTTAGCTCGGGTCATGATCTCGCAGGCAGTGAGTTCGAGCCCCATGTCGGGCTCTGTGCTGACAGCTCAGAGCCCGGAGCCTGCTTCGCATTCTGTGTCTCCCTCTCTCTCCGCCCCTCCCCTGCTCGTGCTCTGTGTCTCTCTCTCATAACTAAACGTTAAAAAAAATTTTGTTTTAATCCAAGTTAATCTGGTTATAGCTTAATAAACAGAAAGGATTAGCATGAAGGTACTTTCTCCACAAATCCTGATCCACGGATATTTCTGGTGTCCATCTACAAGGTAGCAGGGGCACGACTGTACTGATACTTGAGTTCTACTTCAATCAAACAATCTCAGGAGACAGGACAGAAAACATACCGGTGACAATAATATAAGCAGCACAGCCTGAGCACCAGAAACGCAGGCTCACACGCGGAAGACGGAAAGGAGGTGCGTGGAATGGAAGCTGAGCCGTAAGAGAAACTGTGAGGGCTACACCTGAGCAGGCGCCACAGGGGCGGCACAGGCGCCAGAGAAGTCTGCGGTGGGGGGTGTCTTTGAGAAGCTCTTTGCGCAGCAGGCTCACTGATCTTCAAATCTCCCAAGGACACCACCACCCCCCCCCCCCGGCCCCGAAAAGGCCTTCCCCGACCTCCACAACAAACTACAAAGTGAATAAAGAACTACAAAGTGGATAAACGGAAAAGAGAGAGAATGAACATCTCAGAAGACAGAGTCTGTGTGAGCAACTCTGAGGGCAGAGGGAACACGACGACACGTGTCGGGAAGACACGCTCCGGGGCAGCGCCGGCAGGAAGGGGAAGGAAGCCACAGAAGGCCCCGAAAAGAAACGTGGCTCGTGTTCCACAGCCGCTATACTTCCGACGTTGCCGTCACCATCGCAGAGGCAAAAACTGTTTAAATTAAAGCAACAGCAAGGAGGTTATTCGAAGGGAGAAGTGTCAGGATTCATCGTAACTTCGGCAGAAAATCTGCGAGGACGTTTCTGTCCTGCCGAACTCGACTGCTTCCGTTCTCAGAGCGCCGCACACGATGCGATGTGAAAACCTGCCCGGTGAAGATGATGGATGCCGACAGCGGGCCACTTCTCACGTGTAAGGAACAGGGCTGTAGGCTGACCGCACACGTCACTCTTCATCACGCGTGACAAGCGGGTCTGATGGGAACCATGTCCATTCTTCACAGTTCATTTGAAGGAAAAGGCGACAGAAGAAACAAGTGGTATGAAAGGAAAAGCCGCTACGTAGTCACCGAACACAGAAGCACAGAGTAAAAGACCTGTCTGCCCTTCAGCCAGAGACCCGCGGCCCCTGAAGGAAAGACCATCCCGCAGCGCATCGCATCGCATCGGCCCTCGCCCCAACGGTAAGTGTGTTTCACCCTCGGCTCCAAAAGAAAACACTGCCATCGTCTTCTGTAGAATGAATTACAAGGTTTCGTTTTCAATTTCTCATGCTCTTAGATCTCTCTTTTCCCCTACCCTTAATCTATTATTACGGTTTTTCAAGAGAGTATAAACTATATTGTCAAGTCACCTACTTCAGCATTTACGTCCTCCGGCCTCACAACTGGCTCCAGCGTACAAATTTCACTACCAGTTAGAGAAATGAGATGAATACAGAAAATAATCCTGACTAAACAGTCCACCCAGGACTGATACCAGCATTCTTCGCCTCTTTTGCTCCATCATAACAAATTTCCTCAGGACGGATATTTTGCAAATCGTCAAGACTGATCTGTTTTTTCTGCTCTCATTAGAGGGGACAGTGACCTGGCTTCTAGATGGCCTGAAAGTTAAGCAGAAGAATTAAAGCAGCGTGGTTATTTTTAGCTCTCTACAGGCATAAAAATACAGCCCTGAGCTGTGACCCACAGCAGAACATCACAGCACGCACCGTCCCCCCCGTAGCTGGGAGCGCGGCCCTGGTGCCTCCCGGTGCCGCTCCTCGCTGCATCACCGGAGCCGAGTCGGAGTGCATTTAGGACCAGAGCCTGTGGCTGCCGGCATCTTTTTCAAACAGACGGAGCTACGTTCAAAAGGCAGACCGTTATATAATTTGTGAAGATTAAACAGTAAGTTATTTTTGTCACTTCTTCTAGCTCACTTACAAGGTGAATTAATGAGCGTTCTCTCTAAATGAAGACATCACAACCTCATTCCTAACACAAAAATTGATTTATTTCAAATACAGTTTCAGTGGGTAAATAAGGAGGTTCATTCCTTCCAACAGGGAACGCATCCGGAAGAACAATATACGCCCAAGAAAAACATAGCCTCGTCACTAATTCAAGCAAACTCTTTGGCAACATCACCACATCGGATCCATCAACTTACCAGGTACGCTTTAAACCTTTTCTGCGCAAAACCTAAGTCAAAAGTGTGTGTGTAGGTAGAGCTTTCCTATACATTAATGTTTTAAAGCCTCCTAAGAACTTTTAATAGCAAGTGCCAGTGTTATTTTCAGAAAATGTTCAGTCTGGAGATTATCTCTGACTTTGTATATTTCACTTCTGCTTAGCTACATAATGTGTTTTCAAAGCTTGGTTTTTGGTACTGACCTAGTTAGAAATTAAAAGACTTTAATCCACATTCTAATCTCGTTTTGACCTGCATATCTAACCAGTGAAAAATTCACGCAGTTTCTGGCAAATTTACTGAAAAGAAACAGATGTGCTGATCAGAACCGCAACATTTTATACAAATAAACAAGTGAGACTATTCCCATAGGCTGAGCATGCCACTTTTTGGCTGGATGAAATGGCCAAAATACGATGCCTACAAACCCGCACACTGTCCTGGCTCAGATGTAGTGACAAAGACCCTGCTTCGGGAATTAAAGTGGCATCTGAAGGAGCGAGAGAGACTAATACAAGAGATTGAAAATGAACAAAAAGTAAAAAAAACAGGAGTGGATTACAACTGGCTGAGAAACCACCAGAACCCCCACATGACCATCCCGGCTACTGAACAAAGACAACTTGAAGTCCTTTGCTCACAAGTTCAACCTTGTCAGACCGGAACTATTCTCAGCAGGTAAAAATACTATGTTCTCTTTTGTGATTATCTGCTGCTGTCAAGTCTAAGGTCTTCATATATCTAGACTGGAAATCGTATTCTATCGGGTACATACTTTAATCACGTGCATCAAAAACCCAAAACCAAAATCCCCAAGGATAGGCTGGACAAAAATATCTTACTGGAAATATTTTTAAGTCACAGAGAATGTCTTTACCAGAAGCGTAATTTTAAAGGGATGAGCAGATTATTCAAAAGGTAACTACTATGCAATTACATTATTTCAGCTATATTTCAGAGATAAATGAATATGCACAGAAGGGAGTTTCTGAATTGAATATTCATTACTGCTTTCCCTCTAGATTTCGAGAAGTTTTAGCAGAAAATGATGTACTGCCATGGGAAATAGTCTACATCTTCAAGCAAGTTCTGAAAGACTTCCTAAACAGTGCTGACAAAGGCAACCAGCAGGAAGGCCTGGAAGAGTCAAGGAACACAGACTGTCCTGTTCCTTCTGTGATGCCAGGCTCAAGCTCCAAGAGTTCAGACAAAGACGAAATACCCACTATTTCCAGTTACGTGGACAAAACCACAAAGAACAGGTTCCCAGCATTCTCACACAGAATATGGAACCTACCATATTATTACCCATCAAGTTAAGTTACTTATAACCAGAGGAGTTTCTATGACCACCTTTAGAAGCAGAACTCTTAATATTAAAAGAAAAAGTGATGTGATTTCATGTTTTGTTGCAAAGTCAGATGTTACGTAGTGTTTAACTCTGCATCCTAGGTTTTAAGTAGTGTTCCTTTTTTAACCACTCTACAAATGCAATGTTTTATTAAACAGTCTACTTTTAACTAAAATGGTTCCAAATATTTTGAAAAAAATGTTTGAAGTATTTTCTTATACCTCAAACATCTCTCACAGGAACATAGGCATTTTATTTAGTATGAAACTGGACAAATTCTGTGTGGAAATTAGACATTAACCTTGACTTTTATTCTGAAAGGAAGCTGTATAGAATAAAATAAATGACTGATGTGAATCTTACTTTTACAATAAAACACGGAGCGGCCTCCAGTCATAATCAGCAGGGAAGGGAGGATGGGCAGTCACAGAGAAGATAATGTGTAAAGACTAAGTGATGCTTTACTCCAACACTCAGATTTGTTACTAATTACAATATTTTTAAATCGCAACTAACGTTAAGGAAAGGCGTGAAAAAGAAACAGGGACATCTGGGTAGCTCAGTCGGTTGAGCGTCCGACCTCGGCTCAGGCCATGATCTTGCAGTCTGTGAGTTCGAGCCCCACATCGGGCTTGCTGCTGTCAGTGCAGAGCCCACTTTGAATCCTCTGTCTCCCTCTCTCTGCTCCTGCCCTGCTTGTGTGCACATGCTCGCTCGCTCTCTCTCTCAAAAATAAATAAAACATTTTATA